TGTGGGGAAGACGTCGGCGGCGCTGAGGCGACGAGCGACGAGCAACCACGCAACCGTGACACCAAGCATGGGAATTCCCAACTCCCCAAAGGGAACTGACTTTCCCATCAAATCCAATGGGCAAGTGCGTTGACGAGGACGCAACGTTCTTCTTCTCCTGAACCTCGCAACAGCAGCTCTTGCTGTTGGAGGATCAAGCCGACCCGCGCACCCGAGGGCACGCGGGCGGTATAGTGGTGTGTATTTCCTAAAGTACATTTGACCCCCCGAACCTCGCAACAGCAGCTCCTGCTGTTGGAGGATCAAGCCGACCCGCGCACCCGAGGGCACGCGGGCGGTATAGTGATGTGTATTTCCTAAAGTACATTTGACCCCCCTACAGCTCAACTGGCTTGCAAGCTTCCTGAAGCTCAGCCGAGCGCCCAAAAATTCCGGGAGAGTGGTAGGAATTCCTAGTCCGTTCGATTACGAGAGAGGTGCCGTTACAGGGCCCTCGCCGTCGGGATGGCGCCGTCGCCGCTCGAGCTGCTGCTCTTCGCCTTGGTGGGCTACAAGCTCGTGCTGCCGGCGGTGGTGGCCTTTTACGAGTTCTTCCTGCGCGCTCCTCGCAAGCTCTCGAAGTACGGCGAGTGGGCGGTGCGTCCACGTTTCCTCTTCGAACCTGGGAGACGTCGCCCTTTTGCTTTTGCTCGACGCAATAGGAGAGTCTTCGACGCTTTTTTGGCCCACGCCCCGCGAGGCCGGCCCGCATGGCGCGGCGCGCTCAGTGCACGCCGCGCGGCCCCCTTTGGCGGTGGTCCGACGGCGCCTCCGTAGGTGGTGACCGGCGCCACCGATGGCATCGGCAAGGCGCTGACCTTCGAGCTGGCGAAGCGCGGCATGCGCGTCTTCCTCATCTCGCGCACCGAGTCCAAGCTCAAGGAGGTGCAGGACGAGCTCGAGGCCGCGTTCCCGAAGCTTGAGTTCAAGTCGCTGCCGATCGACTTCTCCGGAGGCTTCGACGCGGCCAAGCGCGCAAAGGTCGCCGCCGCCCTTGCCAAGCTCGACGTCGGCGTGCGTCTCCTGCCGGGGCCGCGCGCCGCGGGGAAGGAGCGCCCGCCAACTGCAACGCGCGCAGGTCCTGGTCAACAACGTCGGCATCTCGTACGGCTTCACGAAGTACTACCACGAGCTCACCGAACTCGAACCGGTGCGACGCCGCGTCCTTTATCCCGCGGAGAAGATTCTTCGATTCGTCGGGCCGCTGACGACCACAACCTTCAATACTTTTTAACTGCAAACAGACTGGGAGACCCTCTTGGTGATATTATTCCTACCGAGGCCACGACGACGAGACACGCCGCGTTTGAGCACCGCCTCCAAAATGGCCCCGTCCCTCACTCTTTTTCTTTCGCAGGTACGTTCACGACGGTGCAGAGACTTTGCGGAGGCACCCCAGGAAAGCGGGTCTCGTGCCGATGACGATCGCCGCCGTGCAATTAACCCAGCTCTCAGAAAAACAATTTGTTGAAGCAAAACGCTTTCACACTATATCATCCGAGGCAATCGAGAGACCCGCCGCATGGCCTTTCTCCGCCTTTTCGCGCGTCCCCGGCCCGGCCGAATCCGTGCCCTAGGTGGACTTGATCGCGCTGAATCTGGAGTCTACGATGCACATGACGAAGATCGTCCTCGGCGACGACGCTGCGGGCATGGTCCAACGGCGACGCGGCGCAATCGTCAACACGTCGAGCGCGGCGGGCACGCAGGTCTCGCCGCTCCTCGCCGGCTACTCTGCTGCCAAGGGCGGCGTCGTGGCCTTTTCCAAGTCGCTGGGCGCGGAGCTGGCGCCGCGCGGCATCCACGTCCAGGTGCAGACGCCCCTCTGGGTGACGACCAAGTTGGCCAAGATCCGCAGGACTTCGCTGTCCGTCCCGTCGCCGAAGACGTACGCCTGCGCCGCAGTGGACGCGATTGGCCCCAAGCCGGCCACGTCACCGTACTGGGCGCATGCGCTCCAGCTCTGGCTCGTCGACTGCCTCCCCGACGCCGTCTCCGTCGCAATCGTCTCCAACATGCACCACGCCATCCGCAAGCAGGGCCTGAAGAAGGAAAAGGCAAAGGCCGACGGCACGGACAAGAAGGCGCAGTGACTCGCGACCGCCCTCTAAGCCCCGGGCGCCGACGAGGCCGCCGAGCAAGCCGCGCTCCTCGTTCGAACTCCAAGTTTCGCAAGCGACCGCGGTGGCGCCCCTCGCGGCTCCCTTTGTATTTTTATGCTCCTAATATGTGAAAGGACAACGCACGGCGCCCCCGGGCCCTCTCCTACGCCGGCGCAAGTCGATTTTCATTGAGGTTAACGGCACTGCCCTACGGCGGCGCGTCGTCGCGATGGTTGATGCGGCCCGAGTCGAACGCGCCCATGGGCCGCCATTCCGAGGCGGCGAGAGCTTCGACGAAGCCGCGCCCGAGACCCGGGTCGGCGTCGAGCGCCGCTGTCGCGGCCAGGACTGCCCGAAGAGGCCCGTCGTCGCGTCGGCCGTCGGCGCCGAGGATGTGTTTCCGGGCCAGCGCCGCGTGCAGGCAGGCCACGTGCGCGTCCGCCTCGGCCGCGCGCCGGCCCAAGAGGACGTGCACGTCCGTGCCCGACACGCAGACGACGTACGGCGAGCCTGCCCGTCGTAAGTCGGCGACGCGCGCCGAGGCCCAAAAGTACGGCGACGCCCCCGCAAAGATGCCACCGCAATGACGCACGCGAGGCGGCGGCGAACGACGCAAAGGCGGCCTGATGCGCGTGTTGACAGGGCTATCCTGTGCGACGAGGCGGTGCCTGCTGGGGGGCTCACCGGCGTCTCGCAGGCTTCGTGGAGTGGCATCCCGACGTGGAGCCAGCAGCGCGGTGCAGGCGCGAGGATCGGCTCCGTCCGCGCGACGACCGCCGGCGGCGGGAGGGCGCCGCTGGCGACGTAGGCCTCTGCGACGGCGGCCATCCGCGCCGGCGTCAGCGCCGACGGCGAGATGCACCTCAGCGACGCGTAGCACGCGCCGAGGTGCACCTGCGTGGCGCGTCGCGTCCGCCGGCGCGCGGCCGGCGCGGCTCCGTGGAGGGCGGCGCCGCCGCGCGCGCACCGCGGAGAGACAGGACCAGGCAGTCACGAGGTCTGTCGGCGAGGTGGCGCACGCGTTGGACACGGCGACGCCGAGCCCGAGGCCGAGCAGGGACGCGACGATGGTCTGCGACGCCGCCTTGGCCGTGATCTCGCCGAGGTTGTGCTGCTGCGCCACGTTGGACAGCGACTGGTGCAGCGCCGCGCGCGACGCGGACGCGGCCACATACGCCACCTGGCGCGGCCGCGACTCTGTGGCATCCGACGCGGAAAAACCCATCCAACGCGTGGGATGCCCCGGGACGCCCCTGCGTGTCCGAGGGGTCTTCGCCGCGACGCGGCCTCAGCGCGTTCTTGCCCACGTTTGCGACGGCTGCGATTGGCACGAAGAGCGCCGGGAAGAGCGGGAGCGCCGCGAGCTCCAAGAGCGTCGCCGCGTCCTGCGCGGCGGGCGGCTCGCGCCCGCGGCCCGCGGCGGCGCCGCAGCCTCACGAGGGCGATGGCGGCGCGCATGCGCCAGCGCCGCGGGTCGGCGTCGAACTTGCTCGCGGTGACGGCCGCGAACGCGACGCCGCCCAGCTGGCCCAGGCCGTCCTTCATAGCCCAGTTTGCGGCGGCGGCGAGCGGCGCCGCCGCCGCGTCGCCGACGCCCCTGCGACCGCGCGCCGTCCGCTAGAGCCGCGGGGCGCGGGAACTCACACGGCGGCGAGGAGGCACCGCGTCGAGAGCACGCCCGACGCCGACGAGGCGACGTAGGCCAGGAACTGCCACGCCGCGAAGTCGGCGTAGCGCGCCTTGAGCGACGCCGGGTAGCCGCGGGGCAGAAACACCGCCAGCGCCGTCGCGAAAGCCGCCGACTCTGGCCGCCGCGCCGTCAGCGCCCACGCCGGCCCCGCGGCGCGGTACGAGTGGAAGACCGCGCCGTCGAAAGCCTGCTCCACGACCGCCCGCGGGACCATTACCGCGCGCGGGCCCGCGACCGCCGCGCGCCCGCGCGCGCCCGCCCGCGGCGCAACCGCGCGAGCCAGGAGACGGACCCGCATCGTATCTTCGAGATCGGCCGAAAGTTTGGGAAAAGTAGGTCAGTGTCCTCCCGAGGCGTCCCGAGGGCTCGGAGCCCGGGGGAGACGGCATCAATCGCGCGAATCGAGCGGGAAGTTGAAGGGTGTGGCTCATCAACGTCGAGGATGCAAGACCGAGGATGCAAGACCGGAGTCGCGCGAATACGTCGGGTCGGGCCAACGCCCTCGAAGGCGAAGCGCGGCGAGGACCGGTCGCGCCCGCGGCGGCGCGCCGCCGCTCCCTCGGAGACCGCGCTGCCTTTTTACGAGCTCCAGCTCCAGCAGGCGATGGCCCGCGCAGGATCTTCCCGACGCTCCCGGACACGCACTGTCAATGCGTCCTTAAGTTGATGCACCTTTGAGGAATGCGCCGGCCCGCGGCCGCTCTATCGCCGCCGGGCGTAGAGGCCGGCCGCCTCCCGGACGCCCACGCGGTCCGCGCCCGCATGGCCTTCGATCAACCTCTTGAACTTATCGAGCTTAAGCTCGTGAGTCCCACGCTCTACGGCGACGTGTACATCGAAGTTCGCGATTTCTTCCCCGGCACGCCCAACTAGGACGGCGTGCCGCGACGCCGCCTTGCTTGGGATCGACGGGTCGATCTTTCTGAAGGTGCCGTCACGGCGACGAGGCCGCCGGGGCGCGCCTATCCAGCACTGGAGTGAGGAGACTCGAGCCCGTGAGTAAGATGAACCTCCTATCCGCGGCGGGACCCACTTAGCACAACCGCCATCGGAGGCAAAGTCGGAAGGGGCCTTCTTTGTCGAGAGTCCGATAAGCAGGACCAGGGTTTATAAACTGTGGAGGATCATCGATGTGCATCAACGTCTTTAAAATTTTCCACCCTCATGGTCTAGTGGTTATGATTTCCGCCTTCCAATATTTTAATGTACTTCATTGGTAACAAAGTGAGCGGGAGACACGAGTTCGATTCTCGTTGAGGGTAAAATTTCTATGCTGCACGTGTGTCACTCATGAAAGTGCCCAAATTTCTGGACGTGCAGCATGAAATAAATCTTATCAGTGACACATGTGCTCGCCGGCACGGCTGCTTTTGAGGACCCGAAGGATCGTTGCCGTTCATTGAACGGCAGATTACGGCAAGTGCCCTTCGGGTCTTTTCATTGAAGGACTACCAGGGTCAGTCATGACTGTCTGTTTGTCTGCTTGACTGTTGGACCCGCCGTCGCCGGGTCCATCCGTGAGGTTCCACCACCGGGAAGAAAAGGGCGGCAACTCGGCCGATTTAGCGAGTGGTGGTTGGTGTTATTGCCAAAATTGGGTGTTGAGTGCGAGCAGGTTCGAATCATTGGACACAGGTTCGAATCTGGTCGGCCGCAAATAAACGAAAAACCAAATGGCTCAATAAGAAACAATATAATAAAATTAAAGATAAGGAGGATTTGAAAGTTCAGCGATTAGTTAAATAATTTCAATTATTTACGTGGGCATTGCAATGGGATTTGGCTGGCTGTATCCTTCGGGTCCTCCGTTTGCCTCCGGCGCGCTCTTGTAATAAGTCCTCTCAGGAGCGTACTGGATGACCCGGTCACTTTGCCGGTCAAGGGGCCTCGGCAAAAAAAAACGCGAACTTGCGGGTTTTATACCGGAACGGTGAGATGGCGCGCGGGACAAGGCGCGCCAACGTACTTTAACGGCATATATGGACTATTCTTAAAATTTCAAATCAAAATTTCTAATAGTGCCTTGATTCAAGGGGGTGGCGAAAAAACAGTGGGCCGCAACATGACACATTGTCGCTCACCTCAAAAATTTAGTTAGTTAGCTTAACGGTCATTAAACGGACATTAAAGGAGCCTATAAACGGCCCGGATGTAGCCATAACCACTCGCCAGGCCCTGTGTTCTGTTTTTATGCCAAGTGGGGGGGAACAGTAGGGACAACTAGGAGAGTGACCCACCCACTTTTACGAGCCCAGGAGGGCCTCTGAGGAGGGGGTACCCACCCACTTGACGAGCCGAGCCA